TGTTTCAGCTGTTTCATGTGTTTCAGGTGTTTCAGGTGATTCAGCTGTTTCAGCTGTTTCAGGTGTTTCAGCTGTTTCAGCTTTTTCAGGTGTTTCAGCTTTTTCAGGTGTTTCAGCTTTTTCAGGTGTTTCAGCTGTTTTGGCTGTTTCAGCTGTTTCAGGAGTTTCAGGTGTTTCAGGTGTTTCATGTGTTTCAGGAGTTTCAGCTGTTTCATGTGTTTCAGCTGTTTTGGCTGTTTCAGGTGTTTCAGCTGTTTCAGGTGTTTCACCTGTTTCAGCTGTTTCAGGTGTTTCAGCTGTTTCAGCTTTTCCAGGTGTTTCAGCTTTTTCAGCTGTTTCAGGTTTTTCGGCTGTTTCAGCTGTTTCAGCTGTTTCAGCTTTTTCAGGTGTTTCAGCTGTTTCAGGAGTTTCAGATGTTTCAGGTGTTTCAGGTGTTTCAGCTGTTTCATGTGTTTCAGCTGTTTCAGCTGTTTCATGTGTTTCAGCTGTTTCAGGTGTTTCAGCTTTTTCAGGTGTTTCAGCTGTTTCAGGTGTTTCAAGTGTTTCAGCTTTTTCAGGTGTTTCAGCTGTTTCAGGTGTTTTCAGCTGTTTCAGCTGTTTCAGCTGTTTCAGGTGTTTCAGCTTTTTCAGCTGTTTCAGCTGTTTCGGCTGTTTCGGGTGTTTCAGCTGTTTCAGGAGTCAGTGAAACAAAACCTGCTGAAATCAAATCGGGTGGCAATTGGGCTGAATGTGGTAGAAACTCCATGTCTGAGGCTTTGGAGTCTAGCAGTGTCAGAAAAACAGTGAGATTTGTGTGTGAGGATATAAAGAAGTGACAAGACGGTGAAGATATTGTACCAAGAAGGGAAAAAAGAGTTTGGAAGTCTGCAGGAGAGTGAGAGAGACACCATGACTAAACACTAAAGACGCTGTGAAGTTTGGGTGTCACCTCTGCCCGGCTGAAAACTCCATCCACTTAGAATGGTTTAAAATGGCATCTTTGATGACTTGATGATAATGACTCAACACGAATGAGTGCACATGCCATGTTTTACAATTTGCAAAATAAATCACCGAAAAGCCTTTTTACAAAAGACCTTTTGAGTGTTAGTCCCTTTTGTCTTAGTATGCTACCAGTTACTACTTCTCAAAATTGTCTGCAGGTGTTCAGAGAGTAACATCCCGTGTGTGCGTGCATGTGTGTGGCTGTACCTCCAGGATGACATCAGTCCTGGACAGGCAGCGTCCCCTGCAGAAGCTGACCTCCACATTGTCAAGTCGACAGTCTCCCTTGGTGATGTTGCGGACCTGCACATAGCGATGACACTCTTGCACAGGCTCACCTTGTGCAAACGCAGAGAGGAAAAGAGATACACTTAGGACAGAGCAAAGGAGGGGAGAATATAATAAACCAGAAGCACTACTTTATAGACGATATTGTCTTTGCATTTGCATGAAATAACTGCAAAAAATGACAAAAAGGAGGAGACAGAGCAGAAAGCTCATTGCAGAAGGCAGGGTGACATTGCCGTGAAATTTCCTCCACTGGGACAGAGATTAAAGCCCCAGTGTAGGTTAAGTAATGTAATCTCCCACTAATTGGGGGCTGAGGCACTTCCCTTGTAGCCTCCTCTAAACTGAACTGAAGAACATTCAAATCCATTTAAGTGGCCTGGAAGCCATGATATTGGAACGAATGACTTGCTCGGGAATAGATTGTTTTGCAAAAAGCAGCGTTTTAATCGCTCTTTTTGTTTCGCATTATCATACGTGGGAAAGCCTTACTCTGTGGATCCGCTGATAGTTTTAAATGACTAATATTATGGAATCTGATGGTATTTGGGACGCGTTTTTGTGCCATGTGTATGCAGTACCAACCTGGAAACTGCTTTCTACACACGGGGCAGCAGCTGCCTGGTTCTTCCACCTTCACCTCCCCCTGAGAGAATCATGCAAACAGAATCATGCAACATTTATGGACGGCTTATATTTGTCATGTCTAAGAGTGTTTCATTGACAAGTTAGAGCAGGCATTTCATCAAAAGTGTGAGTACACATATGCATGTGCATATCCACAAAAACATTAGCACATTAGCTAACTGAGCATCAACCCCATATGAAAGTGAAGGGTGACTCTTAATTTACATCTTCTGGTATCTTCACATTCATAATGCTTTCATAATAGCTGTCTAATAACCGTTTAAGGTTAAGTTAAGGGCAGGCCCAGCTTAAATGAATTATGTGAGAAACAACTAATTCAAAGTCTGAGTCTGAGGTAATGTAACTCCTGCAAACATGAGAGTAGCTTCACCCAGAGCACATGTAACAGTCCTGAAAGGGTCTGGTGAAGGTTCTCGACCTTCACCCGACCTACCTACCGGTTTGGTGGTGCGTCAGTGATGGTCTGGTGCCGATCTGGGAGGAGACCCCCCAGGACACCATCCCGGAGCATGCATGCAAATATGTGTGGGCCAAACAATCACCCAGTGTGATGCCCTGTTGTTCCTAATAAGTTGTCCACTCCATACCAGTATAGAAACCCAGCATGATTTTTCCCCCCATTGAGATCTGATGTGTTTTCAAAACGTTCATTAATGTTTTTGAGCACGAGCACCAATAACTCATCATTACTATAACTGGGCCCTCAAACCAACATCAGGCTTCAAAACACAGAAACCAGTGGCATGAGTTTGAATGTGTCCGTTCTTTGTATGCAGTCTGTGGTTCTCACACAGCACAAAGTGAAATTCAAACGACAAACAAGTACCAAGAGTTTCATGGCCACTTGAGGCTGGTTCCAAAAGTGAGTTTGTCTTTGTAGACTCGTGTTTAAATGTCTAACATCACAAAAATAAACATATATACCACATGGAACATTTTACAGTTTATCTAGAGATAGTTCTGCCCTACATAAAAACTGTGAAGAGATGAAACTCAAGGTGTAATTACATGAACCCACTGGGAGGGTCTTTTTACCAAACGAGTGATGCAGAGAGAAGGATGAGGAGGCAGAAAATGACATAGAGCCAGGCAGGCAGAATGGAAAAGGGATAGGAATAAGAAAATGACACATGAAGACCAAAAATAGCACATGAAAGAAACTGTGACGTAAGGACACACAGGACACAGAGGGAATAAAGAGAAACCCAGAACAGAGAAAAGCAAGGTGTCCTGTGATGTCCCTGCCTGAGAATAGCTGCTGTTAGCATGCAGAGTCACACACAGACCCATCTATAGCATCACTCTAGTGCGACACACACACACACACACACACACACACACACACACACACACACCTCTTGACTGTTCACCTCAAGGAGTGTTCCTTCCACTCGGCACTGCTGCCAGCCTTCCCTCAGGGCTCCCCCAGGGATGAAGGAGCTTACTCACTTAAAAGGGTGAGAGGTCATGAAGACGACTATTTTAAGTTGTGTGTGTGTGTGTGTGTGCGTGTGTGTGTCACAGGGGATGGAAACAGGTAGGAATGGGTATTCCTGTTTATTTCAGGGAAAATGATCCGAGCATCAAAGCGTGTTGTTTACAGGCTGTTGGGGGAATCGTAGCGCCTTTAATTGGTGTAAACGATCAGCGTTTGAGAGGAAGGCATCCTAACAGCTTTGACATTATAACAAAGCCCTCAATACATTACCTTAAAAAGATCGATGCGCTCCCAGCAGAGCCACGTGCAGATTTCAATTTTAAACAGTGACATGTTTAACTGTAAGCTCGTAAACACCAAAGCACACTGACAGTCACCCACTGTCAGCCTGCCAGCAGAGGGAACGCAGGGCATTAAACGACCTTTCCATATTGTTTTGGATAAGGAGCGCTTTCACTGAGCCATCACGTGGTCAGCAGTTACACAACCGAGCCCCTCCAGAGACAGAGTGCACTACACTAAAGAACTGCTGCACCACAGGTGGAGCACTGGGAGGACCGTGGACTTTGTGGAGCTTGCTGTGCAATCAGCCTCTCTCTTCAGGTTGTGGTTGTCAGCTGAATTTATTTTTACACTGGCCTTTACACAGCGCTGCTGTGCTAAAGATATAATTCAGCGCAGTGTGTCAAGGATGAGACAGCTAACTTTCCTACTGCAGCTCATCTGAACTTCTCCACAGTGGTGAGACAATTTAAAGTGTCTGTTCAGCCCAAATTACACACAGAATATCTTCTCTTATGATAATTTCTTTTACGATCATTATCTTCATGTTTGCAGGTGGTCAGTGAAAAACACACTGGCCTGGACTGGGATGGAGATCTGTCCAGTAGCTCCGCTCTTATTTCAATACTGTTTGATAATATGCTACTACACTGTACATTAACCTTTATTATTAAGTATTTTGGATTTTGAGTTGGCTTTGGACTCTCTGCTCATTCTTTCACATTTATGAAATATTCATAAATGAGTTCTGTATTCTCGGGTGAGGAGTTCAGCCATCCGGGAGGGGCTCAGAGTAGAGCCGCTGCTCCTCCACATCGAAAGGAGCCAGCTGAGGTGAGTTGGGCATCTGACAAGGATGCCTCCTGGGTGAGGTTTTCCAGGCATGTCCTACCGGGAGGAGGCTCCGGGGCAGACCCAGGACACGCTGGAGAGATTATATCTCTCAGCTGGCCTGGGAACGCCTTGGTGTTCCCCAACAAGCGGGAAGAGGTGGCTGGGGAGGGGGAGGTGTGGACTGCTCTGCTTAGGCTGCTGCCCCCACGACCCGGCCCCAGATAAGCAGAAGAAGATGGATGGATGGATGGATGGATGGATGCAGGAATGGATGGATGGATGGATGGATGGATGGATGGATGGATGGATGGATGGATGGATGGATGGATGGATGGATGGATGGATGGATGCATG